ATCTCCTTCTACTAAGATGCTGCTGCGTCCCCCATAGCCAGACAAGAAACTCGAGAGATAGGATTTCAAAATTATAGTTTCTTTAGCCTGAAGGAGCGGGGTGGGGAGAGGGTCTGTTGGGTGGACACCTGAAGCTGCTGCTCCGGCTCCACTGCCATCACGAGAAGCCAGAGACCTCGCCTCCCAGAAACCAAGGGAGGAAACGTGATCCCTGGTGTGAGAGGAGCTCCGGGGTGGGTGGGCAGGGAGGTGGTGCCAGGCAGGTGCGCCTGAGGTGTGGGGTCTTCACGTCCTTGGTGTGTTGGCTAATTGGGTATCTAGGAGTCACTAACACAGTAGCAGAGTTTAAAGCCTTTGAGAGAAATCCAGAAACCATGTGTCCGTTACTGTGGGATAGAAGAGCAAGACACGCTGAAACCCTAGTGGGGTGGGGAGGGTGGGTATCTGGATAGACCCCTCAGATCCTGATGCTGTTTACCCTTCATGGACACAGTCTCTGTTTCTGGGACTTCGGCCCCAGTGTTTTTCACTTCAGTTCCACAGATTTTCTTGAAACATCTTCATTGCTTTTCCTCAGCAGCTGTCAACAAAAAACCAAAATGTTGTTCTCAGTCTGATGCTTTATGGAAAGATTTTGTACCCTGATCTCCCAAGGTGCCCCGCTTCTGCCCTCTCAATCCTTGGCCAGATCTTAAGTAGAAATCTCTCCCTTTCATCCACGAGAGACTGGTTTTGGGCTCTTTACAGGCAGTTTTGCTTGTGAATTGTTCCTTTTTTCCTCATCAGCCTTAAGTCTAGGCCTTTGCTCCTCACCAATGATGTGGACAGTTCCCTTCACCAGCAACACTTCCTATCTACAAGGCCACTAACTTCTATAGGACTTTTAAACTACCCAGATATATCCAGGTAATGGGATTGTTTAACTCCTTCATGTGTCTTCATTTATATTCCTGCTGACAGTGGGAAGAAGAGATGCTTGAGAACCGTGGGTTCTTAGGTTTGGATTCTGTCATAATAGCTCAAGACCTGTTCTCAAGTACCAGCTTTACATCAGTAACTGTTGACTCTGGTCTGTTATTGACACCTTTCTAGAAAAAAGTCTGTTGCTCAGGTACACCAAAGAGGAAGGAAAGTGTTCTTAGGCCACCCTTTATAAAGCTTTGCAGAACCTCTGGATCATATTCACAGTTTCCAGATGAGTCTTAGAGACCTTAGGCCAAGAGATTAAATAGTTTGGCAGTAAAGTCTCAACTGGCCCATTCCATGGTATTTGCCAGCAAAGATAATGGGCTGGCAAGAATCGTGGTGCTGTAATCTGTCGGGTGGAAGTTTCTCCCATTGAGCCTCTAAAGGGCTACGATGTCGGTTCCTGTACTGCAGTCATGTGGGACCAACAGTCTGGGTTGGAGCTACTGGTACAAGTGCCTACAAAGCTAATGCAGGTGCTAAAAATGTCTTCATCGTTAAAATGTAGTCACACTTCTAGTGGCCTGGACGCTCAAGTGCCTACAGGAGCTCCCTGCCAAGCTCCACATCCTCCACGGGCGCTGGGGGGGTTCACACGGTGCTTTGCCAAGCAAAGACACTTTGCTTTTCTGTCCCCCTGCTGACTTTGGAGCCAAGAAACACTGATTCTATGTGACTCTCAAGTGCTTCCTATCTCCTCCATCCTTCAGATGGTCATTTATAGGAAAGTTGTCTGGAATTCATTTTTTTCCACATTAAAAAATGTCATAAATGGTGGTTAGCTTTTAAGCTCAAACACACTAACTTGTTTAACTTACAATAAGATGTTCCAAAGGTAGAAATGAACTGCTATTTATAACTTTTTTTTTTTTTAATATACAAGAAAATGATTTGTGAATTCCAAATTGGATTGCCAAGAAGACCCTGACATGCTGCTGGCCCTCGGGGCTTCAGTCTCACCGTCAGTTACATGAGGGGAAGAGCTTTCTAGATCTCTCCCCTGGCAGGGACTTCCAGAGCAGAGCTGGGGTTAGAGGCCTGGGGGAAGGAGGAAAACAACCAGAGCAGAGCCTCTGGGCAGCCGTGACCACATCACCTTATTTTTGTTCCCATCTTCCCTCTTCCTTTCCCTCCTTGGGGCCGTGGGCATGGATTTAGAGAGCCCCGAGCAGTCTGGTCACTGGGAGGAGCAGCAGAAAAGTTTTTGCTCGTTTGAACCTGATGGGGGAGGCCACTTGCATTTGGAAAATGCTCTGTACATTGGGGACTGCCTGTATTTGGAAGCTTCATTAACTCTTAGAATCCTTTTCTCAACCTCCAAGCTGCATTGAGAAATTACTCATCTGTATTTTTATTAAGCCTTAAAACTTTATGTGCATTTGGTGCCAACTTTTTGTAAAGCTGTATCAAAAACAACAAACCTGTGCTCACATCTCGATGTAACTTTGGGAGGAGCATTCTGTTATTTTTACAAGGCAGGAGTGGGTGTAGCCGTTGAATTAAACTTAGCAGTCACGTACTCAGAGTCTTTGCCTATTGGTTGTGTGCACAGTGTGTGTGCATGCGGGTGGGTGGGTGGACATGTTCACGTGTTTCCTCCACGTCCATTCTCCAGAGTGCCTGAACTCTGCTCCTTCCCTTACAGCTTTTCATTGGTTGATGGGGTTTGCCTTTTTTTTTAAACTAGAAGATGCCAAAATTAATCTTCTCAAAGTTTATGGATTTAAGGTTTTTTCATTTGAAAACCAAAGACTTGGCTTTGAATACAATGGACAGAAATGTGGCAGCGTTCTTTTAGTTTACGTAAATTGAAGGTAATAATTCTTTTTTCACTTAACACCACTTGTTTTCCTGAAGAATTTGCCTCTGAGTTGACTTTGAAACTTCCACGAAAGCCTGACAGTGAGTAGATGAAGTGCTGAGCTATTAGAATCTGCCTATAGATTCAGGTCCTGTAGAGAAAGCATAGATTTTTCTTCTTTCTTATATATTAGCTATTTTCATATGTCCTACAAGCAAACTTAATATCTTTATGTGTGTTAAGTGGACTCAGGGTGATGGAGCTTCTCAGACTGCCTGCCTGGAGAGCTCCACTAGAGGAGGCTTCCTTCTAGAAGACTGCTGCATCAGGGCCAGCTAACTGGACAGCACTTCAGAAGGAAACCCAGCATGGGTGACCTGACACTGTCTTCACTTGTTCATCTGAGAGCATGTTCCCAGAACTGGGCTAGGCACTGGCACCAGTACATCACCTATTTGTAGCAGCTGCTCCAGCTGCAGGCAAGCACTGAGGTTTTGGAGTGTCACAGCCTGTTTGTCTCCAGAGGTCAGGCAGTGGCTGAGTCAGAGGAGCAAGGTGGGCTCCCCTGCATTATGGTGAAGAAGTGGAAGACATCTAAGGGTTCCCTCTTCAGGTCCTGTGCCTTGTCCAGAAATACATGGCTCTTTGGACAGAGCGTAACTTGTTCTAACATCTTTGTGAATTGAACCCTGCAAGGATGTCTACACCTCCTCCTATATTATCCCGTTTGTTTTTTTCTGAACTCGTTATATTCTTAATCCTTAGCGTTCTTGGAGCTCATGAATGAAATCTTCCTGTTCTGTGTGTGACTACAAAGTGCTATCTAAACTTGAACTTAGGAAGAAATGAGAGGGACATTACAGGGACCTAGGTGAGTTTTTAGCAGGCATTAGGGGTGGATACTTCGAAGTTAAAGTATTGATAGAACTTTTGAAACCTGTGTGCCCAAATTACATTTTAGGGTCTTGTAATGAGAAAGAGAAAAAGTTGAATAGCGAATTATGTTTACAAATTGTAAAGGAAGCAAGTTCTAATTCAGTTAGCTTGAGCTCTCAAGAGTGTACTAGTGTTCTTCAGTAAGCATCAAGAATTATCCAGCATATCATTTTGTTAAAACTCCTTTTTCTTTAACCAGTTTCAAGTAACAAATCTGCCCATACATGTTAGTGGTAAAAACTAATAAAGTTGATGACAAGTCAGTTGGCCTCTGACTGGTAGTGGTGGCTGGCTTACTGTATTTGCTATTTTAGGAACTGAAAAGGGGCCATATTTCTTGGAAAGGCTTAGAGCAGAAGTCAGAAACATTCCCCAAAACATTCACCAGCTTTCTCTGTAACTTGCTTACCAGAAGAAATTATACATTTCATGTTTGTCCTGGCTTATTTTGAGAATATAAAACAAGTCTATATTGCATGCTTACTATTTGCTAGAGATTGTACTAAGCCTCTTTTGTGATCTTCATAGCACTCCTAGTAGGTTGGTAATTGTTTTAGGCTCAGTTTTACAGTTAGCTAGGATCAAAACCCAGGCAGTCTGAATGTGAGACTGAAACCTCAGATCGTTTCTTAGTGGGGTGGGTGAGCATCCGTACAGCACAGTACATTGCAAGGGGAAAATTGTGCAACAGTATTTAGGGCATCACCTGCAGGAACGTTCATTGGTGCAATCAGGTTAGGATGAACTCCCCTTGAAGCATCGCATCAGGTAAAAGGCAGGGGTAAGAGCATTTCTGTTAACACTAAGCTGTCACTCATGGGTTTATGATCAGGATTCATGCCACCTGTGTGGCCCCCAAAGCTGAAAGTGTAAGTCTTAGATTCATGGTGTCCTCAAGGAGAAAGAAAATGCAAATCAACTGGCTAAAAGTGGAAGAAATAAGGGCCTATCAAAACTGGTAGAATATAAGAAAGCCAAACAGGACAAATGGAAATTAAAAATATAACTGTTGAGGGACTTCCCTAGCGGTCCGGTGGTTAGGACTCTGCGCTTCCACTGCAGGGGGTGCAGGTTCCATCCCTGGTCAGGGAACTAAGATCCCACATGCTGCGGGGAGAGGCCAAAAAAAAAAAGTTGGAATAAAAAACTCAGCGTAGAGGTTAGACTACACATAGCTGAAGTGAAACTGGGAAATTTGAAGAAGTTATGCAACATCAGGACACAGAAGTGGACCAAGTGAGAGTTTGTTACTGGATTTTAGGATGAGACGGGCAACTTGCATTTAATTGGAATCCCAGGAGGGACCATGGGAAGCACAGCCGCTCTGAAGGGAGCTCTGAGTACCAACTGTGTAGGAGTACATACTGTTGTGCAGTGAGGCTACAAAGGCAAGTCACATTTAACCAGGTCAGCATCGCGGTCAACTCCGGAAGGGAGGGAGGGGCGCACAAAGATAACGGCCATTTCTTTGGAGGGTAGGGTGGGCACACGGACGCTCGCTTAAGTCTAAACCGTACAAAGTCATTTGTATATACTTAGGACATAACGCTGTCACTTTGTAGAAGTCCACGCCTGCGTCGTGGGAGCTGGCAGACAGCTGCTCTGACGAGACTGACCGGAAGCGCTCCCAGCCCCGCTCGGCCGAGCTTCTGGCGCGGGGACTGGCTTCTTCCTACGTTAGGACCCCTGCGACCTCTAGCTGCGTGACGCCGCGGGGCTCCGACTGGACGGGCGGGCACCGCCCCCACTGTCTAGGGGGCGGGACTTCCGGGCGGCGGGACTTCCGGCCGCTGAGCGACGGGTGCAGCATCAGCATCAGCATCAGCTGGCGGCGGCTGAGGCGACAGCGGCTGCGGCGCAGGCAACGGGCCGCGGCCTGCGGACTACGGGCAGCCGGAGCGGGCGGGCGCGCCGGCGGACAGCAGGCCGCGCTGGCGGCGGCGGTGGCCGCGATGATGGAGATCCAGATGGACGAGGGCGGCGGCGTGGTCGTGTACCAGGACGACTACTGCTCTGGCTCAGTGATGTCGGAGCGGGTGTCGGGCCTGGCGGGCTCTATCTACCGCGAGTTCGAGCGCCTCATCCACTGCTACGACGAGGAGGTCGTCAAGGAGCTGATGCCACTCGTGGTCAACGTGCTCGAGAATCTGGACTCGGTGCTCAGCGAGAACCAGGAGCACGAGGTGGAGCTGGAGCTGCTGCGCGAGGACAACGAGCAGCTGCTCACCCAGTACGAGCGGGAGAAGGCGCTGCGCAAGCAGGCCGAGGAGGTGCGTGGGCCGGGAGGCGCCGGGGCCCCTCCCGGGGACCCCAGTCCTTCCCGGCCCGGGGACCCCGCCCTTAGCCCCCGCCCTGCCCGGGCCCCAGCTCACGCCCCGCCCATCCCACCAACGCCCCCGACGCCGAGCCCGGCCCAGGGGCTGATGCCTGGCTCCCCCATCCTCCTGGCCTGCTGCTCCAGCCAGGAACCCTAGCCCTGAACCACCTGGCGTCACTGGGGGACCTTGCATCCTAAACTGCCTCAGGCCTCCTTCTCCCCTCCATACCCACTTCTCATTGCAGACGCCAGTTCTTTTTGCTTTTGTGTTTTTCCGCAAACGTGTCCTAGACCCCAGTTACAACTTCTGGTTGCTGCAATTTTAATTTTAATTTTAAACCCTTCCAGAAAGGGGATTTCTGATCTTCTTATGGTTCTGCAGCCAGAAGAGGTGTTGTCAGATCTTTGCCTTATCCCTAATCCAATGTTTTGATGGTCTGTGACATGGGTGAATTTGGTGATTGAGGTAAACACATTACCAAAGCCACAGTTAGGCTGCTCCTCTGGCACCAGGTGAAAGACTCCAGGTTTCCGGAGGTGATTTCTTTGCCCTGTGGTTCCCTCCGTTGGGAATATTGTTAGCTTATGTGGAAAATGCTGAGAAATTCCACTGTGGCTTCTGAGGAGTTAAAAGTAGAATTTTGAAGTATTTGATCGTGTTTTAGGATACCTCCATAACCTGGAAATCACTTATTTGTGAACCAGTTAGAAGAACCATGCATTGCAGGGAATACCACTTACCTTCATTCATTCACTATGAAATATTTAGCCCTGTTGTCAGACCCAGGTGGATTCAGGGTACCTGGGTTCTCATTCCTGCCTTGCCTTTGTGACCTTGTCCATGTCGCCTGCCCCCCTCTGGATTTTGATTTTCCTTCAGTCATATGAGTCAGTTGCCCTAGATGATCTCTAAGCCCTGACATTCTGTTGTTCCAGGCATTAGGTGATGGCTTTTTGGTTTATGAATGGGAAGTTTCTTATTAAATGAGCTAAATTCCTTTTTAACTAATTTGGATTAACACATTCTTGATTTTAGTATTGAAATGGAAGACTGTTTCAGTATTTTGGCTTTTTCTTAAGCTAGGGCAGTTTATGTCCTCCTAGTTTGGTTTAAAGTGTGTTTATAAAAATTAAGAGTGCCTTGTATCGTTCCTACTTACGGTGCTTTATGTTGATCTTGGGTTTTTTCATTCATCTGTCAAGAGGCTCTTGCCTATTGATTGGGGTGCCAGGCTCCACCAAAACTGATTTAGAGCTCTCAACTTAAGGGAGATGCAAGAGCTCGTAGGATTTTAGAGTTCAGAGTGGCCATAGGCATTTACTAGGGAAAGAACTGGCCCCAAGAAGGAGTGGGGGTGGACCAAGGTCACATGCTCTAGAAGAACCAGGCCAAGACGCAGTCTACCCTGACCCCTGGAGTGGGCTCTTCGTTCCACTGCTGTGGGAGGTCAGAGAGCGTACCCCCAGAAGACGAGCTCTGGGGCTCCCCTCACTGGCCGTGGGGCAGTGGCTGCCTCCCTCATGCTGGGCAGCACCTCCCACTTCTCTGACTGCTCTCAGCGGCCATTTGATGCCTAACTGAGGTTTTGAGTAGGTTTGTTTTCTTTCACTATGTACCTATGTGGTCAATATAGTGGACGAGAAGGAACTAAAAGGAGAAAGATGGACAACCTTAAGGCTAAGAATCATAACCATCTACCTTGAAAATTTGCTCTGCGTGGATGAAGCCCCTGCTCTGCTCTGCATGGTTCAAGTACAGCCGCAAGCGAGTGTCGTTCTGGCCTCCCACTTAGGCCCTGGACTAAGAGCTGAGGGTGTGCATGTGGTATGGAGGACAGTGCCCTGGAGGCCGAGACCCATCCTTGCCCCAGCTATTAAGAGATGCTGAACAGAGAGCCACAGAGTGAACAAAACGCTTGGCTGGCCGGCATAGAGGCTGTGATTTGATGCTAATAGTATGCCCTTGGAGAGACCTCATGTGATGTTACAACCAAGAAAAGGGCCAAAATCTGTAACCATTTTGGCATTCTAGCTCATTTACTAAATCCAGTAGACATTCATTTTCAGTTTTGTGGAAAATACCAGTGTACCCTGTGGCCTGGCTTCTTTTTCCACACAGGGCATGAGATCCTAGATGTGTGTCTGATAACACGGGAGGCTGAACAGCATGGGCTGCAGGCGTGTGCGTGATGCAGAGTAGCTTCTGCCTCCCCTGCTCAAGAAGGCTTAGTCAGAGCTGAGTAACCTGAGCCGCCTGCAGCCTTCCTAGCACACAGAATCTGCAGATTTAAAAAGAAAGAGCCTTGAGCAGAGCAAACACCTCTGCCCGCTACATCTTGCCCGTAATAACCGCAGTGAGAGATTGCGAGTCTGTTCTGGTCCCAGGGTGACTCTCTCGATGGGAGTGACGGTAGCTAGAGGTGGTGGGGTCCAGGGAGGGGGGCCAGGCCCCAGAGTTTGCAGATGCTTGAGTGTCAGCCTCGCCTTTGGGAGCTGCACACCCTGTGACCAGTCTCCCCCTCTCTGGCCCCACTGGCTGCTTCTGTAAAGTGTGTGGGTTGCCAGACGTGGCAAGTTTCTTTCATCTCAAGTGCCAAGTCCCGTGATTGGCTGTTGTTTACCTGGAGAATTGCAACAAGGCAGATCTACCCAAGCCAGGGAAGAGCACCTTGATGGGGCAGCCTCGGGTGGCAAGCGTGGGGCATCTCAGTCTCTGACTGTGCAGGTTTTATGCTTGTCATCGAGACCAGTGAGTCCCGCTCAGACTTGCAGAGCTAAATGGATGTTGCTGGCATCTAAAACCTCTACAGAGACCTTAAAAATGCTGAAACTGTATCCAATACAAAGTTTTGAAAACCCACTGAGTCCTTTCCCATTAGAAAAGAAGGTTGGAAATGGGCATTTGACCAGGATGGCCGGGAGCGAGTGGGCGCCCCTGGGCAGTGCTGCCCACCGTGGCCCCCGGGAGGAGGAAGCAGAGGACTCCATTCACTCCAGTCCTGAGCAGCAAAGAGCCTTCCTCGCAGGGATCAAGTATTAGGCTTACAGGAGGAAAAACAGTGTTTGAGAGACAAGGTGTGAGTTTAGTAGCCATCATTCACCTTAAAGTCTTCTTGGCCCTAATGAAACTACTGGTAACATCCCCCACTCATCACAAGCAACTCAAGTGGACGTTCTGTCCATGAGACATGGCTGTGGGTATTTGCTGATACCTCAGTGTCTGGTGCTGTGTAAGGAAAGCATCCAACTGGAAAGTTTTACCCAAAACTGTGTTTTTCTAGTTGTACAAAAGTAATGCATTTTGTAGAAGAATATTTGGACAGGATGAAGCTGGAGGGGGCAGAAGCCATCATTCTACTCTATAGAGATGATCATTTGGCATTTTTTTATAAGTGAATTAATATATTGAATCAGAAGTTTTTCTTCTTGTGTCCCATATTACAAATAGTAAATTCACCCCAGCTTAGACAAAGTATGCAATTTCTTCTGCTGCCGTGTTGTCGTATTAAAAGACAGGTTTTTGTTTTGTTTTGTTTTGTTTTGTTTTGGGTTTTTTTGGCCGTGCCACACTCAGCATGTGGGATCCCAGTTCCCCGACCGGGATCGAACCTGTGTCCACTGTGGTGGAAGCGTGGAGTCCTAATCACTGGACCACCAGGGAAGTCCCAGGACAGTTTTTTTCAATTGTTAACTTTTTTAGATGAAGCCATTAAGATTTGGTGCCCAGAGCTGCCTTTCCTCGTTGCCTCTAAATACTGGTCCATTATAGCTCTCTTACTAGAGTCACCAGGAGTACAACAGACTCTCCCTAAAAAATGGGAACAAATAGGCACAGGAGAGGGCTTGCCTGGTGGTGCAGTGGTTAAGAATCCACCTGCCAATGCAGAGAACATAGGCTCAAGCCCTGGTCAGGGAAGATCCCACATGCTGTGGAACAGCTAAGCCCATGCACCACAACTACTGAGCCTGCGCTCTAAAGCCCGCGAGCCACAACTACTGAGCCCGCGTGCCGCAATTACTGAAGCCCGCGCACCTAGAGTCCCTGCTCTGCAACAAGAGAAGCCACTGCCATGAGAAGCCAGCACACTGCACTGAAGAGTAGCCCCCACTTGCCGCAACTAGAGAAAGCCCGCGCTCAGCAACAAAGAACCAATGCAGCCAAAATTAAATAAAAGTAAATTAAATTTAAAAAAACAAATAGGCACAGGAGAGCAAAGAGAGGCGCTTTCCAGCCAGAGAGAACAGAACATGCGGAATAAGCCCCACCGCCCTGCCAGGCTCACCCAGCGGGAACCCTTGGAACCCTCAAGGCCCTGTGGTGGCCGTTAGGCAGCGGGGCAGGGACTGGGGCAAGTTAGTTCTCCCAAAACTAGAATTTCTAAGTTAAATTTTAAATCTGTCTTTTTTTAAAGTTTCTGTTTTGGAATAATTTATAGAAAAATATAGAAATAATTTATGGACAATCTCACCCAGATTCCCCAAGGTGAACATTTTTCCACATTACTCTTCTCTCTCCATCTCCCTCCCTCCCTCCTGCTCTGCTAAGACCTGAGGGCTCCTGCAAGTCCTATGGTGTCCTCAGTTCCCGATCGGCTTCTCACTTTGTGCTTTTTACAACCTTGATGATGTGATATCACAGGCCAGTTATCTTGCAGGATGTCCCTTAGTTTGGCTTTCGTGTGACCTCATGACCAGTTGCAGGATGGAAGCTGGGGAGGGGCACTCGTGTGGGGGGCAGGGTCCCTTTTCCCAAGGGTGGTCAGCAGCCAGACGGCTCATGTTCCAGGCTTTTGCTCTGTTGAAAGTCAGGGCCCCAGGGGTCATCCTCACAACCTCCCATGTCCAGTGACTCACTAAGTCCTGGCCATTCTTTTGTCCTGATTTTTTTTTTTTTTGTACTTTTTGTGCTTCTTTTTTATCTCCTTTGCTACCATCCTGGCTCAAGTCACCACT